AGAGAGCTTGATTGCTACACTACTCTGAGAACTGTAGCTCTGGAAGGGGAATAGAGATCTCCTAACAACTCTCAACAGCTTTAATAAATGACAGGTCCCAGAATTCTTTGGGGAAAGCCATGACTGTTTGAAGTGATATCATGGTGCTTTAAATATATGGTGTGAATGAAGTAAAATCTCTGCCTAGAGTATGGCATGGCTAAGTCCCCTAATAACATGACACATTAAAAATATAGCATAGGTGAAGCCCTCATACAGTGTTGTCATGAATCAGGAAGAGCCTTTGGCTTATATTTCGGATCTGCCACAAAACCTACTAGCAAGTTTTTAAATCACATATATTCTTTTTACTGATGCTCTTTATCCTGCTCTTTTTCTGATTCTGCTGGGTTTTGGTTGTATGTTTTAAGAAAACTTTTATTTTTAATGTTTGTAAAGTGCAGTGCAAGAATTTGCTAGATAGCTAAATAAAAATTCACATAAGTCAAGCCCATTTCGTTCAATAGGAGTAACTCCCCATATGCCACAGGATCAGAGCGTTAATCACCATGGCTTTCTGGTTTCATGTCCTGGTCTCAATTTGTGACTAGTTTTAAACTCAACCCCCACCCCCACCCCAAGGCCTCCCCAGAGATGAGCAGATTAAAGCATGTTCCCTTGTTCTCGAGGGTACATTAAAATAGACCAAGTTATCTTAAAGATGAAAGAGACATGAGAATGAGGGAAATTATGTGATGGTTTTTTTAAAAAAAAAGATTTAAAAAGCCTGCAAGTTGGTTGATGCAACTAATTACAGAAAAGAATTATTTTTATGTGGAAACTATTGTAGGAAATCACTTGACCTCATACTGCACCCACTGAGGGGCAAGGGGCTCAGTAATGCTAGGGAAATGCAGGAGTGACCAACATAGACGTTCTGGAAAATGATTAAGCTATGTCAGTGTTCTTCAACCTTGGCTCGCCATATGTTGCTAGACTACAACTCCCATCAGCCCCAGCCAGCTTAGTCAATGGTTAGGGATGATGGGAGTTGCAGTCCAACAACATCTGAGGCCTCAAAGTTGAAGAACATTGAGCTATGTGATCTTAGCACTGAAACAGCTTCCCAAACTTGAAGCAGAGGGAAAGGAGTAGCTATCTTTACCTACACGTTAAAAGCCCTGAAGATATTGCAACAGCAGTGCTGCAGCCAACACATTATATCCATGCATATTAATTGGGAGACCCATCAGCAACAATAAAAAAGCCTCAGCATGCATCACAAAAAAGGCCCTGCAAGAAGCATGTTTCCTAGTTATAAGCAAAGGCTTATCACATGTCCTCTCAGATGATACACCTTTTAATGCAGGTGATGGGAGGCAACTAGGGATAAGCAAATATTTCCATTTCGGTTTTTATCCATTTCTCATCTTTCCAACCTTACATTCAGTGTTTCACTTTTCCACATCGATTTGCAATTTTTAAAAAAAGAAGTTTTCATGAAAATTCACCAGCATTTTCGTGTAAATTTCTCCTAAAATACACATTTTTGTGTGCAATTTTGCCAAATAAACACATTGTCACAAACCAATTTTCTCTAATACCATGCATTTTTGTATACTATTTTCCCCTAATATATGCATTTTATTCCTTCATTGACTCTTGTGAATTTCTTTCTTTTGATTTTTCCCCCCCAGAAGAGAATATTATTAGTATGTGAAAAACTTGTATATGCATTTTGTGCACATTACTTGACTGGAGAACTGCACTGAAAATTCAGAGGTATGCAAATTTCTTTTTTAAAAAGCGTTTATTACAGATGAAACATTAAAGCAAACAAATGGATATAAAACACTAAAAATATTCCAAAGATCATATGGGGAGTGGGTGTCTTTGAAAACAATATATCTATAAATACCTAACATACAGGATTGATTACGGCAGCAGACTTGCAAAGTTAACAACAACCTTCTTTAAACCTTGGAGAGACTCAGTGACATGATATCTAAATAAAGAAAATAAACAAAATTCAGAATACTATACCTCTCCAAAAAGAGAAGTGAACAGATTATGGTCTAGGTTCTTCTGGTGGGGAATTAATGAAAGGAGGGGAGAAATGAAGGGAGACCAGGTATAAAAATGATCTCTAGTAAAGTCAACTTTAATGGTTCTGCAAAATTGTGTTAGTTTGTCTGCAAGCAAAACCTTCCAAACCCTATCATACCAGTTTTGCATAGTTAACAAACAATCACTTCTTCATAAGAATGTGATTTCCATCTGGGCTGCTTTCAGGAAATGGATTATTGATGGCTTAAATAAAATATCTTTATTAGCTACTCAAAATAACAACAGCAAGGGTCCTAACAATACCAAAATAGCAATACCAAGCCTGGGTCTTTAACCACTGTGAAATTTAGAATTCTAGAAATCACATGGAACACATTGTTTGAAAACTTGTTTGTGGCCTGACACTCCCATCCTAAGTGAATATAAGTCCCATTAGTGGAGCATCCCAACCAACAAAGAGATTAAACTAACCCACAAAGTGGCAAGACATTTTGGTCTGCCAACTTAATTCCAAATGGCATCCAGCATTCAAATGACAATTAAGTCTGCTGCCCAACTTCAGGAACCCTCATGCTAATTTTGGTGAGGTGGCCAAACCAATGACAAAAAAAAAAAACAAACCCAGGCAAAGTCAGACCAAATTCACATTTCTGTCCTCCAGCTTGATTCAGAAATAGTGGCCAGTGTCCAAGCGTCAATGAAAACAACCTCCTCTTCCCCCTTGGGAATGCTCTTGCTGAATTTGGTGACAGTATATTAAGAGGTATCCAAATGCATAGAGAACAAATGGGCAAACAGACAAGACAGACAAACTGCTTTCCAAAATATATAGTAGACAGTGATAGCTATAGATCAGGGGTGGCCAAGCTGGTGCCCTTCAGATGCTTTGGACTACAACTCCCAACAGCCCCAGCCAGCATGGCCAATGGCCACATTCTGCCTCCACTATTTCAGTGTCAGAAGCATTATGCTTCTGAAGACCAGTTGCTGGAAATCCCAGGTCCAGCTTGCAGGCTTCCCACTGTGAGAACAGGATTCTGGACAAGATGGATCACTGGCCTGATCTAGCAGGCTCTTAATATGTTCTCAAATCAATGGCCTTAAATCAAGCATTTAAATCCTTTAATTTCAGCAGGTTTCTTCTGAGCATGGCTTCCTGTTGGATATTACCCCCATTAACCATTAATCAGTGTGATTTCTACTGGCATTCAAATGACCACGTGGCTAAACTTTTCAAATGTGGGATCCCACTGAATTGAGTCTCACCATCTCTCCACACACCCAGAGTGGCAACAGTGGTGCCATGCAGTGGGGAGAGGCCTCTACTGGCTTTGGGGCCAATGCCAACCTCCCCCTCTCCTCCTTCTCTCTGGAGGTATCCCTGGGATCTTCCTGCACTGCTCACTCTCTGTTCCTTTATACGTTTCTTTGCATTTGAACACATCTGCTTCCTATTAGAATGGCAAATATGTTATTTTAGGATCCCGTGTTTGGTGCAAGCCTTTTCTCAAGAGATGAGGACCAGGAAAAAAGAGGGAGCGGGGAACAGTTGGAAGCTATTTCTGGAAGCCTCTGAAGCCTCTATTCTTCCCACACACACCGTCAGTGACCAAGTCAAGAGTCCATTTAGGCCTGGAAGAACAAGCCAAATTGTTTGCTGTTTTATTCCCCTGACACACTTCACATATTTCTTGAATGGGGGAGGTGGGGTGTGTTACAAAAATGTACATGGAAGGAAGTCTTTTGCAGCTGGACTTGGAATACAGAGAGGGTTTGGGTCAGCTCCCACCCTTCATCAAAGAACGAAGCTGACTTGAATCCTGGATTCCAAAAGATTCTCATTCCAAGGTATTTTGTCTTCTGCAGAATCCGTTGCTCTCCCCCACCCCTCAGCATATGCTGCAAAAAACACAAAAAAAAACCCAGGAAGGTCATTTGTTTCCTAGCAGATAGATCCCCCATTATCCAGAGCTTACGAGAGCCCAAACAACAATTTATAAACTCTAAGCTCCGTTGCTCTTGCAAGATGAAGCGCTTTAGTGTCGAAGCCAAGCCAAATCTTTAAATGGTATAAGAGGCATTTGGTGGGGCAGGAGGGGGAGCAGTTCTTCCCTTTGCCCAGCTGACAGTAGGTTTACAGTTTATAATCTGGCCTTTGTAAAAGCATTTGTCAGCCTGTATATTTCATTTTAAACCTCGACCACCCATGAGCAGCGACCAGCAGGAAGTGCCTTTTTCTCTCACACCAGCAGCCCATTTGCAAGCCGACTGCAAAAGATCAGAATTGAATCACAACGGGAAAATTTCTTGGCCCTATCTCACTAACATCTCCAGAGTGGGGGGGGCATAGTGGGAAGCTGACTTTTGTTTATGCGAAGACAGTCCTCCTCTCTAAATTTGGAAATCCTAGGTATTCTCTTAATCCTTGAGCTGTAACAGGGATGCTGTGGATCAGGCACCTTCTAGCCTCCCTCAACTCACCCAACCAAAAAGCTTATATGTCTTTTTTTCCCTTTAGGAAAAAAATAACACTTCAACAGCCCTTTGAGATGAATGGCAATTGTAGCATTAAGCCTAGATCTATATAAGCAAACATTTCGGGTGCAATGGTTTCACTCAGTGCAAGATGTGTGACTGGCCTGTGCTTACCTGTGGACAGGTGAGCAATGGCTCCTTATAGTTTTTGTAGCAACAACAACAAGGGTGCTTCCAAACATGTGTTTTTATTCTGGGGTTCATCGTGCTCCTCATGCATGCAAAGGAAAAAAATGCAGTGTCCACACACGACATTGTTGGCATCGAAATGTCACTCCCTACTTTTCTTCTCCATTTTCTCCAGATTTACCCTTTCTGGGAGAAATCCAGTAAACTGAAAAGCAAGTCTGTTGTCAACGAGTTGTTTGTGATGTTTAAGTGGCCTTTTACATAATATATTCAATCATCAAGAAAACAAGAGCCAGGGTGGTGTAGTGGTTAGTGTGACCGGCTAGGACCTGGGAGACCAGGGTTCAAATCCCCACTTGGCCATGAAGCTCCCTGGGTGACCTTAGGCCAGTCACTGCTTCTCAGCCTAACCCTTACCTCACAGGGTTGTTGTGATGGTAATATGGAGAGGGGGAGAATGATGTATGCCATGTTGAGCTCCTTGGAGAACAGTGGTATATAAAACATACTAAATAAATAAAATGCAATAAAATAAAAAATACTCCAACAACTCCCCACTGCTCCATCACTGTTCTGCATGATGTCTACTCAGTGACTGTTTAAATAAATGCTGCATCACAGACCCACCAAGTGTCCCTATTTTCCAGGGACCTCCCTGATTTAGAGAAGCCATCCCAGTTTCTGATTTGATCCCAGAATGTCCCACTTTTCCTTAGAATGTCCCTATTTTCATTGGAGAAATGTTGGAGGCTATGGCGTTATCTGACCCCCGAGCTGTCTGAAGGCAATCCTATATAGGGAAGGTTTTTTAAATGTTTAATGTTTTATTATGTTTTTATATATGTTGGAAGGTGCCCAGAGTGGTTGGGGCAACCCAGTAAGATGGGTGGGGTATAAATAGTAAAATTATCATTATGGAAAGGGACGTCCCTATTTTCATTGGAGAAATGTTGGAGGCTATGGCATCACATGAAAGTGAGCTACTAGGTGTCAGTGCTAGAGTACAAAACTCTAAACAGCTTGGGACCTACGTACACAGAGGAGCACCTCCCATATCTCAGGTCCTACAACTGGCAGAGCAGAGGAGGCCCTACTGGTGATGCAGCTGCTGGGTGCTGTATCATTGATGTGGAGCTGTGACAGGGCCTTTTTGGTGGTGGTCCCACATTTGTGAAATGCCATCCATGTTGAACTGTGTCTGTCTCACTCATCATTAACATTCAAGAGGATTTTTTTTTAAGAAAAAAAATCCTGTTCACCCAGGCATTTGATGATTGAAAGATTGACGTTCCCGGCTTCCTTGACATTTGCTGTGAAGGCATGTGGCTGTAGTTAAATATCTGTAGATGTTCTTAATGTTTTCTATGTGTTTATTATCTTATTTTAATTGCATTGCATTGTTGGACTGCCTTATTGTTTGCCACACTGGGCTCCTTTGGAAGAGAGGCCAGGCTAGAAAAGCAAACAATTCAGCAGCAGCGTCACTGCATGTGATCTGCAGTGCAGGCTGGAGTGTGTGGCCTGGACTATCTGCCTCTTTACCAGCCTATTTGGCCAGGGGCTGTTCCCAACACCACTGCTTGGGCTGAGGTAGAAGAAGGCAACTACATCAAACAGCTAGCCAGCCGAGGCCAGCAATAAGCAAGGACAGCCATCACTAAGGCATCACCTCAGGAGCATGCAAATGGCAGAAGGTGGCTCAGGAAGGAAAGGCTGGTGAAAATGCTGTCCCCAGCATCTGCCACTTACCCAGGACCGGCCCACCCATGAGGTAAGGTGTCACAGCCACCTTAGGCAGTAGGATTCATAGGGGCAGCAGATCCTGATGTAGATCCTTATCACCCCCTCCCCCCCCCCGATGAAGATCTTCACTCATCTCTTCTTCCCTGGCCAGGGGGTGGGGGGCAACATTTTGTGGTTTGCCTCAGATGCCAAAATGTCTTGGGTTGGCCCTGCACTTACCTAGTGGTAGGGCTGACCCTGCCCAGTCCTGCTCAGCTACAGCAAGCTGACAGCCCAAAGAAGGGCTGTAGCTCAGTGTTGAAGCATCTACTTTATGTGTAAAAGGTGCCTCGTTCAATTCCCGGAGTCTGCACCTTGGGTTGGGAAGGACTCCTGCCTGAAACCTTTAATTGTTGCTGCCAGTCCTTGTGACAGTTCTGACCTAGATGGACCAATGGTCTGACTCAGTACAAAGCATCTCCCTATGTTCCTATTATTTTGGAGCTCTCGGCCTCCGATAGGCACTGGTGGCTAGGTTAAAAAGTGTACATATTACATTTTCACCACATTTGCCAGGCAGTTGCTGGTTTTTTAAAAGGAAAACAAACAAACAAAATGGGGAAATTTTCCCTTATGTCCTCAAATTTATGGCTATGTTATATCTCTGCATAAGCCACTACGTCACTAGAAGTGTGTGGGAAACAGAAGGGAAGGAATGTGTTAAAATGGCAAAGATTCTTTGGAACGGCGGCAGATACCATTTTACAAAAGCATTTTTTTTCCTCCCAGTATCGTAAGTAACACTCAAATGTTATCTCTTTTTGCTCAAAGGTTTAAAAGGGAGGAAATAGCATAGTTTTAACTTTTAAAGCAAGTGATAAACCCATGGGGGTTTCTTTTGCTTAGTTGCAAATCATGCTAGAAAATTTATTGGCTGGGAAGTTCAGCTTTGAGATAAAGTCTATATCGCCATTGCCTTTTCTACATCTCAAATAAATCATGCACAAAGTGGTATTTTAATGTAGAGCTTGTGTAGTGTAACTACTAAGAGCCTGAACCAGGATTCAAATCTTGCCTCGCCATTCAAATGGCAACTAAATTGCTGGAGGGGGGATTATCCCCCCACCAGTGCAGATAAGTGCCTTCAGAAGAGTGCTGCACCAGGGGAGAGAAATGTTAGATTTCTTCTCCATACCACTTGGGACTCCAATATTATCAGCCATACCCAACCCAATGCTATTTGCATTAAAGAAAACTTGCACATATTTCCAAACCAGGAAACCCCGAAAGTTGTTGAGCTTTTTCTTAGGAAAACCTGAAAGTTGTTGAGCTTTGTTTTACGAAAATGCCCCCAAAAGGTGATTTACTTGCCGAAGATCCGCCACCTTACATAAATTCCTCCTGGACATCACTTCCGCCTTTGACATCCCAGTAATGTCCAGGAAATCCCAGATGTATAGCAGCCTCTAATTGTTCCTCTCTTTGTTTTGAGTTTTGTTGTTGTTGTTATATTTGGGAAGGAGATGAAAGCTTCAAAGTGCAATCACACTAAACAGGGCTGACATCAGCACCTAGTATCCAGGGTGGCTGTCAAGGCCCCAGGGGCCCACAGCAGCTGTTTGATCTACTCCTCCCTTAATTTGTGGGGTGGGTTTCCAAGCACTCCATCTTCAGGCAGCTGGAAATAGTCACCCTTTTAATATTCCACAATTCCACCTAGTGTCACATGGGGCATTGTAGGAAATTAAAAGGTTGCCTATTTGCAACTACTCAGGAGATGCTCAGAACATAGGAATGAAGGACATTGGTCCATCTAGCTCTGTGTTGTCTACACTGATGGACCACGACTCTCCAGGGTTTCCGTCAGGAGTCTCTCCAGTCCTACCTGGAGATGCGAGGGATTGAACCTGGGACCTTCTGCATGCAAAGCAAATGCTCTGTCACTCAGCTATGGTGGCCAGGTAATCCCCAAAGGGACCCCCCACTAGAGGACTCTTTGCCTCTTTGACTCTGAAACTAGAGAAACTTCAACGCATGTTTCCTTTGTGTAAGTGGATCTCATGATGTCAGACAAAGAGACTTGACACCTGGATTGTACAACCTCGGATTGGCTACGGCGATACCCCTGGCTGTTGAAATGCAGCCTTCAGTCCGCCAAAGGCCTGGCAAGTGGCATCATTTTTGGCTTATTCCTTCACCGCTTTTGTTGGCCAACAGCTGCTTGAGCGAGCAACAAAGGGAAAGTGTGGGATTTCAGAAAGAGTGAGCTTGCCCTGGAGACTCCCATCAGCTGCATCTGATTTTACCTCTTCGCTTCCGACGCTTTGCCGTTCCGTACTGTGGTGAGAGTTTCGACCATCTCTGCTGCGCATAACTTGTTCCAGGCTTTCAAGTGAGCAAATGCACTTTCCAAAACAGGGATTGGATTTCAGTTCATGTGAAAGAGCAGAGACTATGCTTTTAGCAGTGGCGCTGTGTAATGTAACCTAAGGAGGTTGAGGGGTGCCATGTTCTTTGCTAATTTGTACATGTTGTGCTGATTGGAACAGCTCAAAGGAGTGACATTTACCCTGGGTAACTGGAAAACGCCAATGCAGTCCAAATTATAGCCGGGGCAACTCTATATACTGACACAGGAAAGCCACAATTGCGGTACTGTTTTGAAAAAGAAAAGGGGGAAAATCAGTATCCTGGGAATCTCAGCTTTAATGTTTGTCTGTTTTTTAAAACAACAATAATAAAATGTGTTTCTACCCATATTTGATTGCAGGGATATGCTAGAAAGTGTATGGGCTATTCCTGAGTTGGAAAAAAGTGCTAGAAACTAGAAGCGTTAATGAAAAATGTTCCTAATGGGGGGTTTTTTGGAGGGGGGGCTTCAATGCCCTAGATAGGCTCCTAGCCCAAACCCTAAGTATAGATAAGACAGAATACATTGTGCAAAATTATACTAACAAAGCAAATTTGATTGTTTTCCACAATCTAAGCAGGACTGCAAAAATTCCTCTGTTCTTCAGACAGAATTGTTCACTACCGTGGCCCAAATTCTTATTTTCATTTCAGAGTACATTTGTTAAAAGGAAGGGGAGGTATCTGCTGATATGGCTCTACTGGCTGGGCTTGATGAGAGCTGTAGCTCAGAACATCTGGAGGGTACCAGGTTGGCAAAGGCATACCCTCCAACATTTCTCCGATGAAAATAGGGATGTTCTATGTGATAATAATAATATCAGGCATCTTCTAACATAATAAAACATTCAACATTAAAAAAAAAAACCTTACCTATACAGGGCTGCCTTCAGATGTCTTCTAAAAGTTGTATAGTTACTTATCTCCTTAGCTCAGGGGCCCAAGACATTTTGGCATCTGAGGTGGCCAGAAAATGGTTTTTGCAAGCCAGAAAAGAAGGGTGAGTGATCTTCATTGGAAATGGGTCAGAGAAGACCACCAGCTCCCCCTATTAGCCAAGAGGCCACTCTAGAAGTGGCATAGGGGTAGAGTTGCTGAGGAGGTGGCAGATTCGGCCTCCAATGTGCACACTGCAGCTGTTGCTTCTACCAGGGCAGTGGCAGTGGGCAATGCATTTCTTGGAAGCTGGATCTGCTGCCACTGTGAATCCTGCTGCCCAAGGCGGTCATCTCCCTTGCTTCATGGGTGGGCTGACTCCAGTCTTGTCTGGGAATAAGTCCAGTCTTCTCCTGTTCCTGTTTAAACCACGAGTACTGAAATCTTCCTTTGTTTTTAGGGGAAGAATTAGGGTTAGGGAGAGCACATGTGTTACCTGCAGAACAGCCCAGGTTCAGTCCCTCTCATCTCTGCCCAAAACCCTGGAGAGCTGCTACAAGTCAGTGTAGTAGACACTAGTGAGCGACACGGACAATTGATCTGACTGCATGGAAGGAAAGTTGTTACTGAAAATGCTGAAGAAGATGGACCAGTGGTCTGACATGGAGCAGGCAGCTTCTAATGTTCCTGGGAGAGGGCTTTAGCTTTCTAATAGGTCTGAGGCCCTATTTCTGCCATCTCCAGGTAGGTCTGGGGAAAACTCCTTTATGAAACACTGGATAACTGTTTCCAGCCAGTGTCAATAATACTGAGCTAGATGGACCCACGGTGTGACTCAGTAGAAGGCAGCTTCCTTCTTGTGTTAATGCCAAGACCAGGGATATATTTTTCCTGGTGGAAAGACATTTTTCCAGATTGGGTAGTTGAACAGACAGCCGAATGAGACTCTCTGCTGTCCTCCTGTAATGATGGCCTTGCTCTGTGTATATAATTAGAGGTCAGGGGAGTGTCCACATGGGCACATTAATCCTGCGGTGGTGACCACAAAGTCTTTCTCCCATCCATAATCAGTGCCTGACCCGGCAGGAACAGCAACCACCATAATAGCTCTGTATGACAATGCTGCATTCTTGCCAGGCCTACTGAAGGGGGTGAGGAAGAGAAGGGAACATGGGGCATTTTCCAGGAACATCTAAATGAAAAGGGTTTTGTGCCTTTGCGTCCAAAGGGGCAGACAAGAATGAAGAAAGCTCGTGACTGACCAATGACAACATCTGATGAGAGTCCTGGTTAAGTTTAGAAGAGGCCTGCAAAACTAGCCAAATATTGGGGACTGCCTGGTACCTCCTCCCCATATTCTTCACAGACAGCAAAAAGCAGACTTCACTGGTTTGGCACCATCCAGGTGTTTTGGACTACAACTCCCTTCAGTCCTAGCCATCATGACCATGTTGGCTGGGACCAATGATAATTGTAGCCCAAAATACCAAGTTGGTGAACTACCAGGCTGACTAGAAATGGAACACTTGTGGAGCTCTAGGTTGGCCACTACGTATATAGAACTGGTGAGAGCTACAATGAGCTACGTGTTAGGGCCTGGTTTACAACCAGAATTAAACGTCAGAAGAACATCAGAAATGTTGTGAGTTTGGGTGCAAAGTATGCATTAAGCAACTCCCTTCTGAAGGCTCCTAGGGCTGGCAGAGGGGGTGCAAAAACAGTCCCTCTCATCCCTCCTGTGCCCACAGAGACCTTCCCTAGCATAGGTACTGTCCCATCACACACACACACACACACACACACAAAGACACACCACTGAACTTAAGTTTGAAAGAAGCCAATAGAAGGATTTTTCCGGTCACAATACAAGGGCAATTACTGCTGAGGTGCAGAGAGCTGCGGTATGCAAATGGGCCTCTGGGCAAATGGGCCTCTGGGCCCCAAAGAACTGGTGCCCTGTGATCTGGACCAGCATCCCTCTTCCCACAGTGGTGAACCAGATGCCTCTCAGAAGCATACATGATCTGAAGATCATGACAGAAGGCTGTTGCTAGACCTTTCTTCCACCATGGCATGGTCTGTTCCAGGGACCTTCTGGCCACTGTTGGATTCCAGCTCCCAACAACTCCAGCCAGCACAACCAATAGTCAGGGAAGATGGGAGGTGCAGTCCAATAACAATTTGAGGGCCACAAGGCACACCATCCCTCACCTAATCCCCTTTTGAAGCCTTCTAAGCCAGCGGCAGTCACCACATCATGGAGTGGTGACTCCATATGTTAATTACCTGCTTAAATAAATAAATGCCCTGCTGGCAGTACTAGATCAGACTGAAGATCCAGCACCTGGCTTGGGGTGGTGATGTGTCCTACCTTACAAGGGGCAGCCCTCTGTTTCAGTGTTCTTCAACCTTGGGTCCCTAGGCATTGCTGGACTCCAACTCTCATCATCACTCCCTAAGCTGACTAGGGATGGTGGGAGTTGGAGTCCAAAAACATCTGGGGACCCACAGCTGAAGAGCATTGCTTTGTTTGAAGGTGATGATGATGCTGGTTTTCTCCTTTTGATTTCTGTTCTCCAGCTTCATTAAATTAAACTCAACTTCAACAGGTCAGAGCATGTTGTCTTTTTGAAAAAAATACTAAGCTGTGACGCATTACATATGTTTGGTTCTTTTTCAGATCAGAAGTTCTTTAGGAGAGAATTCCACATGGACTGAGTGCAGGTAGAGTTATGGCACACTGGTTTGAATGAGCAGGAAAGTGCACTTATCTAACATCTGACTGGTTAAATTAATTTAACAAAAACATTTTAATCAACCACAAAGAAGCCCCCAATTCATTTAAAAATGTTCTACTAAGGGCTAACTACTTCTCCATGATTTGTAATACAAATGCTTATGGAAACTGCAGGTGGCGTCATCTTAGAAGAGACTTTGCTTTCTGTGTGAGAGAAAACAGAAAATGTCTCTTTCTAGTTGATGTTTCTTGCAACATCTGCATGAATCATATAAAAAAATGTTTTTTCAGAACGAAGAAGCTTTTCTCATATGCAAACATATGCAGATTTAATCAATAGAGGCTGCAATCCTATTAACACTTCAACAGCCCAGTAATTTAAAAATATATATGCTCAAAGTAAAGGGCACTGTTTTGTATTCATTACGTTTTTGTTCTACTCTGCAAGTATTTTAATCACACAAAAGCCCTGGTTAAGCAAAGAAATAATAATCGCCCAAGGCCACCAGTGAATAGCACTTGAACCTGCAATTCCGACAGTCACATCCAACATTCTAGGGCAGTGTACTAGAATAGCTTTACAATCAACCCAGATTCAAAGGCTTACAGGGAGAAAACATCACTCATACATTTGCATAGACATCTGTGCAATCTGTGGCCCCAACCAGCTGGGTGAAGGAAACATCCTCATGTGGAAGATATCCTCAGGGTGCATCTTAATTTTCCCCATGCAAAGTTGCTGGCAAAAGAGAAATGTGTGATCCATGAGTCAGGATATGTTTCCACACAGTGAAGAACAGCTCTGGATTCCATCCAGTGACAGAGCTGTGTAGCAAATTTGACCAACTGGTTACAATTTAGCATGCTGGAAAAATTGCAGTGCCTGATGCTCCATAGATGGGTGTGCATCAGGTGGAAACACGGCCGTTTGCACTTCAGAGGGTCTTCCAGAAGAGGTTGGTAACAGGCTTACTTCCACTTTTAATCAATAGGAAAAACACACGTATGAAATTTCGGAGATGGCGAAGAGAGAAGAATCTCATAGCCAAATAAAAGAGTAAACCCTAAAAATGCATGATTTGGACTAGTGTCAGCCAAGGGCTTGGCAACAGCTGGAGTATCTCAGTCAGGCCAACTTAACGGCTGTAAAAGGCCCACCCATGGCTGCATCCACTGTTTTTCAAAACTGCAGAAGTTTTGTCATTCCAGAGCATTGTAGGTAAAAAAGAAAAAATGGCAACAACCCCCCCCCCCCAAAAAAGGTAGCTTCTAAGTTTGTACATTGGACAACTTGTTGTTTTTACCCATTATACCAAAGAACAACTGAACTCCCAGGACATCACATTTATGGGGTTGGGGGGACTGAGCCACAACCACAGCCCCTGGGGGGTCTGGAGCACAGACTCTGGCAAGAGTCCCCCCTGGCAGCAAGCCCTGGCAACTGCCTCAAGATGCCGCATGCTGACGCCAAGCGTGATCTCAAACCCAAGGGAAAGAAGTAGTAAGATTCAGGGGGATACGAATGAGAGGTAATGAGGGTAGATCCAAGGAAAGGAAACTGAGACCAGAATAGCAGAAAAAATTACTTTCCCAGTGGCAAAGAACCATCATGCTGCTGAACGATCTCCTAAGGGAAGAATAATCAAGCAGCTCAGCCCCTTGTAAATTACAGGATCAACTGAGGATGATTTAAGAAGCAGCCTTGCATGGAAAGATGCAAATGAGCTCATGGGTAATTTTCATCTCTCCTTTCTGTGATTATAGGAGGCTTGGCTAGCACAGGACATGGACGAATAGCATGGCAGCCCTAAGGAGCAAAGCAAAGTTTGCTCCAGTTCCTCCATCCCCCATTTATTATTTTCTACCCGAAGTGCATGAAGCCATAATTCCATGCAAACATTTCATAACTGAGCAGATGTGAGAGCAGGTGGAGGTGGAATCAAGATTGTGTCTTTTTAGCCCTCCCACCATCATGGCCCGTGTTATTTCCTCAGCAACCTGTGCAGGCATCCTTTCTGTTGCACATTTGCGATCGTTTGTAGTCATGATAGAATCGGAGCAGTTAAACACAATTTGGCTTTCAATATTGTTTGTGCCTGCTACAGTCTGGAGGACAGTGATACTGCTCCTTTTCCAATTGGTGCCTGTTCTGTAGCTTCCTGCTGAAATCCTGTAACCTCGCAGACTACAAATGTTCTGGAATGGGGAGGGGGTTGTGCCACTTTTTGTACTGCAATCGTGCTCCTTTGGATGACGATAACACAGAATCACTTGGGAAGCATCACAGATCTAATATAGCAGAATGATGTGCAGATGGTCCAATACAAGTCCACCACTAATATACTATTTTTGCAGCAATGGCATGTTGCAGAATACACCTGCAAGGAACCCTAAATGAACATACACCTGTATCCTCCCCTGCAATCCCTAACCTGTGATGGAAATGGAAAGTGTGTAGACAGGAGGCTGTGGAACAACTGAAATTGTGAAATAATAGGAACATAGGAAGCTGCCTTATAGTGCCTGTCAGACCAGTCGATCTTGCACAGCATTCTCTGTACTGTCTGGCAGCCATACTCCAGGGATTCAGGCAGGAGTCTTTCTGAGCCCTACCTGGAGATGCTGGCGGCTGAACCTGGGATGCTACCATTGAGCTGAGATCCTTGCAAATATATTCTCAGCATATAGAGGCTGGAGCCAGAACAGCTGGATTGTCCATGATTCCACCCCCCCACCCCACCCCAATGTTCATTTCTACCAGGAACGAACATACATAAATGTATTGTGCAAGAACAGCACATTCCTACAGTTTATATTGGTTTCATCCCAGTCCTGCCCCCAAGTTTTTCAAACGTAAGTCCCTTCCAACTGGAGCCAACGGGATTTAGTGGTGACAGGATGGCCCCAAAGTTACCGCACAGGTGTAAGTGATCTGCAAGCCACATCTGTCAAAATGGTTGCAGATGGTGTAAACATCCAGCAGATGTCAAATCAGCCTTCATTTTTCATCCTTGATAGCAAGTATAAATTTGCTTTCTTCATCATCATCTCTCATCCTCACCGGATCACATCTTTATGGCCTTTTCGTGAACTGCCTCCAACAGTTCCTCATGTGCCACGATTTTCGTGACAAATTTCAATCTGATGTGTGCACATCCACCTGCTCCCCAATCCCAATTCATCAGCACCACTAAATCCCACTGTGGGTGGCCTCTGTGCCCAGGATCTAAACACATGCAAAGGAGTATCTGCAGTATTTTTATTATTTTCATTTCATTTCATTTGTTATATATGTGTACTGCCCAACAACCAAAGTTGTTTTCTTCTGAATGGAGAGACTCCTTTAGATAACCTGACCCCAAACTATTTAAGAAAAGCTTGCTGGATCAGGCCAATATCCCATCTAGTACTGCAACATGTTAGCACCGTGGCCCAGCAGGTGCCTATGGGATGTTTCCAAAGCACAACCTGGGCACAACAACATTTTCCCCTCCTGCACTTCCCAGCAACTGGCAATCAGAGGCATGTTGCCTTCAGCTGTGGAGGTAGAACATAGCCATCAGAGTTAGTAGCCACTGATAGTGTGATCCTCCATGAATTTATCTGATCTTTATTTGAAAGCCATCCATCATTGCCTCTTGTAAATCTATGTGCTACATGAAGAAGTACTTTTACCTGAATCTTGCAACATTCAGCTTCACTGCATGTCCATGAGTTCTAACATTATGAGAGAAGGGAGAAAAGGTTTTCTCTAGCAATTTTAACATCAGCACTCTGAATTATTCTGGATAGGAATGAGAATATGTACGTCATTATCGAGTTATCCTTTTGAAATCTATGGTGAGGGTTTAAAACCTACAATCCCAGGAGAGTTTTTAGAGGCACCTCAGTCCGTGTGTGGTTTCTTTCTTGTTTATTTCATACATTTCTGCATCATAACATCCTCAGGGATATCTTTTGTCCTTTAGCACACCGCATTTCAAGCCAATCCCAATTAGATTCACTATCATTTATGATCATGTGAAAAGAAGCTATAAAACACAGCACCTTTCTTTAAAGCAAAAAAGAGTAAAAAAAGTTGTGTTTGTACAAGAATCTGCTGACATATTGCAGAGTGATAACATAATAGTGAAATTAGCCAGATCACTGTTAAGCTGTAACCTGGAAACGGCAAAAGAAGACAGGCAGATCTTGACCATGCTTTGCCTCTCCACTATGCAACTGGCCCTATTATTATTTTTTTACACAAAGAAACCTCTATATTTTTTCTTAAATATTTGCTGTTATCCCTAAAATGTTGGCTCAACCATTTGTGATAACAATTATGTTTAAAACTACTACTACTACTACTACGGTCAAAAATGATCTCTGGATTTCCATTTTTTTTATTTTCATGAGGAATAAGGCTATTAGTGGATAGTAACCACAATAGGTATGTTCTGCCTCCACTGTGTGCCTCTAAATTAGGAATGTTGAAGAATTCCAATGAAAACAGAAGTCCCATGTCCAGCTGCAACATTTATAGTACTCACTACATGTTGCCTACATGCTGCCATGAGGATTAATTCAGGGTGACCCTATCATTTGGTCAGGTGAGGCACCCACCTCAGGCCACAGATGCTGGGGGTAGGGGCTGTGGCAGAAGCCTGCAGGCTGTTCCTCCTCAGCCACTGACCACTCAACCATTCCTGCCTTTAGGATAACAGAGCTGTGTATGCTTACATATCCTGTATTCTCCATGACTTAAAGTGGTTTAAGAATGTTCTAAATGTGTGTGGGACCTGTAAAGCACTATTGACTTTGTTGTTGTTGCTGCTACTGCTGCTGCTGTTTTTCGAAATGCAAACATACCCTCCCACCCTTCCAGATTGCTTTTGAACTTGATAGCTTTGGCTCAGAGTATGGAACAACAACAAAAATCGGCTTTTGTTCTTGTCTTTGGCCTGAGTACTTCAGAGTTTAAAACTCTTGCTTTGGTCCTCTGTAGTAACACAGGAGTTTGCCTTAGGTCATGTCACACCATTAGGCCACATAGTTCAGTACTGTCCACACAGATTGGCAGCTCCTCTCCAGGATTTTAGGAAAGGGCTGGTGCTGTGATGTTTTTATGGCCATTGTCTGTGTTTTTAATAGAGTTTTAAATACTATTTTACTTCAATTAGTGTTTAATTACATTTTTATGATTGTCTTTTCTATTTTTTTTTAGCTTGTACTATTTTATCTGTGTAAGACACCTTCAGTCCCAGACTGGGAAAGAGGCAGGATATAAATAAATATAATAATAATTTTACACAATGCATTCCCAGTCCTTACTGGAGATCAAACCTGGGACCTTCTGCATGCAAAGCAGATGCTCTGCCACTGAACTATGCCCCCTCTCCCTTCTTGATATTTTGAGGTGAGTTATAAGAGGGCTTGGGTTCTAGCTTCTGCAAAATTCTGCATTGTTTTATCACTGATGTGTTTTCTGCCCTGGGCACCATGAGGAGGATGGGGTAGGATATAAACTCAATAAATGAGTAAAATAAGATCATTCTTACCTTCTGGTCAAAAAGGTGCCCTGCAAATAATATTATTTCCTTGTTTTCAGTTGTTGTTGTTTTAAAGTCAGCTAAAACATATTGCCAGGTTGAAACGAGAGAGGGCCCTTAATCAAACCCATATATGTACTTTTTATCCAAGTTTGGGGGTGAAGGCTCAGATACAGCTCTTACGAATCAAAAGCACCACATGAAACCCAAGAGGTTTGAAATCAAGCAGAAACCCCAACATTTGGCCATGGGAAATCCAGACCCAGAGGGCCGCTTCATAATCCGACACTGTTTAAAACAGAGCATATGTTAGCTTCTGCCCTCCCGAGGGCTAGCCAGCCTTGAGGGGTGCTCTTTTTCACACACCAGTGTTCCTCACTGGACCATGAATGCTCAAATATTAGCTTTCCACCTAACAAGACGAGACAGGGGCACAGTAAAGCCCTGCCTGTTTCTTTGCCTTGATGCAGGAAAGCCATATAATTCTGTTAATCCCATGCGCCCCCCCCCCCCACTGCCGTCTTTAAATGCCACACACTCCAGTGTTTACTCTACCAGGAGGGTAATTTTATCAATCCCCCATGAATGCAGATTTTTGCAGAAGCAATTTATTGCCGGGGGGGTCACTCCCTCAATAAGGAAAGGGGGGGAAATCCTTCGAGTATGCAAAGGAGGTATCTTTTCCTTCTTCTTCCCCCTCCTCCTGTCGTCGCTGCCTGCCCCCACTCCTCTCTCTTCTTCCTTTTTTTCTTCCATAATTTACATGTTGTCATTTCACTCAGGCTTCCAGTCCGTCTTAAACAGTCCATTTAGGCTGCTAGCTTATTATAAACTCTACCGCGATGGTCTCCTTGAATTGACCACCCACCAAATCAGGCTGTCTAAACAGCATCTGTCTAACTCGGCGGCACATCCAGTGAGTTAAAAATGGACTCTGTCCAGATTTTTCTTTAAAAGGGAGGCTTCAGGGTGGGGGGGGGAGACGTCAATAAGGGGAGAGAATGAGCATCACCAGGAGGAGAAGTTCATTGCAATCAAGACACAGTTGACAAGAGAAGCTGAGTAAATGCCCCTTTGTCTTCGTCTCACCCGCCTTGCCTCTTGACATTTTCTCTCCAGGTTAATTCATTTCGCGAGCTAACGAAAGACAAGGCCTCCCTCGCTGCCAAAGTTACCTCGTACAAAAATAATAATAATCTTGGCACCAATTATGGGCTCGTTGTGTGATTAGCATTATTAGCGACTCGCAGGCAGTTCAGGCCTAATCCCAAATGCATTACCCAGCAAGTCTTTCCATGGCTTCTCTGGCTTAAAGTATCAGGAGGTTATTGCCTCCGATAGGTAAGTGTCGTCCCAAAGAGCCTTCCCAGCAAACCGGATCATCTTCTGAAAGAACACATTGATGAGAAGCTTGCTTGCTCTGCACTCGTCTCCATTCAGGTCATTTGGAGGCATTTTGGAAAGATTAGGAAGGATTAGCCATTTGAAGCATCGCATTGTTTCCAGCTTAACCACAGAAAAGAGCTAAAATGGGTGAAGGAAAAGTTGTGCCATTCAGTTGTCCCAGTCAGGAAAGGAAGCTGTTGTAGGCCAATGGTCCCAGGGTATGGCCTGAGGGGACATGAGGTTGCCACTTAGCTGAAGCTAAGCTACTTCTGGGTCTGGTCAGTGCCTGGATAGGTGACCACACTGGAAACACAATTACACTACCTTGCCAGGAAAAAAAAGGAACTGTTAGTGGTCCCCATGGCCTGGATGCATGGGTTGTAACCACCAGGAGCTGTGCATTTAATACTGTGGGCTCAATTTTATGAAACTCGCTTCTAGTTGAGGTCAGATTGGCCCCTGCCCTACTGATGACTTCTTTTATCACAGCAAGCATTTAATTGATTTTACGGTTTTAACTGGTTTTCATGTCTCTGCAATGCATCTTTGTACAGTGCTCACAGGCTATTGTAGTTAAGTGGCAAATAAATTGTTTATATAAATTAATAGGTAGTGATGCATATCCCAGTCCGTATCTGTACTGAATTTGAAACTGTTAGTATATATTTAATTTACTTGACTGTTTTGTATATGGTTTGGGAGTATCAGTCTGAATGACACTTGTAGATTGTTTCCAGATCTTTGATTCTGTATCCAGTGAGGCTTGAAATCTAATAGAAGAAGCTGCAAAACCAATCAGACCAGTCTCTTTGTTAATGTAATGGCCTTAGCTAGCCTCTTAAGTACTGACCTTTACATGTCCAAAAAGGTTGCCCTGTTGCCATAGAGACAAATGGATGGGGCTTTCCCACCCCACCTGGCTGCATACCACATCATCCTAGAATGGAGAACAACAGGCCAAGGCGGGCGCTGGACTGGCTCGTGTTGGAAGTTGGAGAGACAGAGACTTCTATTACTCAGTGCTGGAGTCAAAGCTATGGCTTGGGAACCTAATGAGGGGGGAGAGATCTTCTGGAACATTAGTGCCGTGAGCCCCTCCATCCTATGCTCAGGTGGCATATCTGTGTAATGAAACCCTGTATCCTAAAGATGCCTCAGTCTCCACTGACTTCCATTCCAAGGAACTCTGGCTAAGCCCTGGGATCCTAAAAGTCTCTCCAATCTTAGAGAGTGGGGTGTGTAAAAGAGTATTGTGAAATTGCTTTGAGATGCTTCCTAGGAAGCGATTCATAAATTAATAATAATAGTAATTCACAATGCCCCCAGCAAGGCATCGCTCTGAGGCATTGTGAGAAATAAAAATCCAGCTACCAGGACAGGCATCAATGCCAGTCAGCTCTGCCAGAGCACCAACATGCTGGGTGCCAGCTCAAGAACTGCCATACTGAACATCCAAAAGGGCCAGCTGTTTCATTTAGCCAAGAGCAAAGGCTTCAGCAATGCCATAGACTGCCTCACTTTCAAGAAAGGGTGCCATTAATTTGCCACAACTGTGATACATGGAAAAATCTTCAAATACCAGCTGAAAATTAATCTTTCAACCCAGATGCTTCCTTCTTTCATTTATCAGGCTCTCTTGGAGGAGAACTCTTTACCCTTCATAAATGTCTAAGGCCTTCATACTAATGAGCCTGCAAGAACAGAAATTATTACCAGGTTTCACACAGATAGATATTGATGTATAATATATCTATCTTAGGACAAGCTTCTCCAATTAGATGTGCCAGCAAATATCAAGAGATAGTTGAATGTTAAATGATTTTCACATCCAGGAGAGATCCATTTTTACAACCGCGCAACACAGTTCAAATGTCAGCCTGTGCTAATTGGATTAATCTGGCACTCCGCATTATCTTCCTCTCTCCAAAGGGGTCTGCTGTCATTTGGTCTCATTAGGGTCACATGCAAAACTCCCGTTTAATTTTCTCCAGGAGGAGACCGGGATCCCACCCAGCCACTCACCCCGGGCAATGCCTTCGTTTCATTTGCCTACAAGAAATGGAGCCCTATCACAATGTCCATTTTTCTTCTGTCTGGCCCTTGCTTCTGATATGATAAGGACGGCACTCTCCTTTGCTTGTGACTCCATGCTTAATTAGCTCCAGATGGGGGCTAATTTGGCCGTCTGTGCCAAGCGGATTGCTCCATTCATTGTCACTTGTGTGGTTCTCACCACCACCACCGCCCTTCGCTGTTGCACAGATGAACAAGGTCGAACATGGAAAACAGATGCTGAAGGTGTGGACCAGGCTCCATACAGTGTCTGCAGAAGGGCAGATTGAAACCTTTAGAGGCCCCAAGACCGGAAAAGATCATGGTGCCCTCCCCACATATGCAATTTGAAATAAAAACCACGCTAAACCATAAATTAAAATTCTAAAATAAAATACAGATTTAGTGCAATGCACAACAAGATCTAATTTCCCTGCATTACTTATATCTGCATTAGTAAGATGAGATCTATAGGTATAGGGTGATATACAAGGAAGGAAGGAAGGAAGGAAGGAAGGAAGGAAGGAAGGAAGGAAGGAAGGAAGAAAGAAAGAAAGAAAGAAAGAAAGAAAGAAAGAAAGAAAGAAAGAAAGAAAGAAAGAAAGAAAGTAAGTTGGAAGGGACCCAGAGGATCTTCCAATCAAACCCCCTACAATGCAGGAATCTCAACTAGATCATACCATGACAGATGGCCATACAACGTCTGCTCCAAACTGAATCTGAATCTCCAAACTAGATTTTTAATTTCTTAAAAATCCTAAACAAATTTGCACCAAATTTGGTGCATTTCCACTAATACACACATTTTAGCATGCACTACAGTAATACCTCTGCGAACATCTGCCTCGTCTAGCGTCCGTTCCGGTGAATGTCCGTGGCAAACCCGGAAGTACCGGAACGGGTTACTTCTGGATTTGCTGCTCACACATGCGCAGAAGAGCTAAATCGCACTTCGCGCATACGCAGAAGCACAAACTGCTCTGTGCATGTAGACGCGGCACTTTGCCCTCCATCCTTTTCTGCTAGCGGCCGGGACTCTGGAATGGATCCCAGTCGCAAAACAAGGTATGACTGTATTGCTGAATATTCACATTTTAGCATGCAATTTTGCTGAATGTGCACATTTTCTAAGCAATTTCCCCTAAATCCCTTTTCAGGGGTGTTATTTTCACTAATGCATGCATTTTATGCACACTTTCCCCTAACATGTCCATTTCTGTACATTTTTGGTTGGAGAGCTCCACTGCAAAATTCGGAGAGGTCCGAATTTTGAAGCGTAACAGTTTTGCAGGTTTGGGTGACTGCAGATTAGGAAAATTCTCATTAAAATGAAGACCAACCTGAATTCCTCCCCCATCCCTGCTCAGCCATACACCCCAGTGAGTTAAATGAGTAAGTGTGCT